CCTATCTAGACTTAGAAGAAAGGGGGTAGTGACTCCACTCTGCGCACGGAAAGCTCGCCTATCGGGGCTGCTAGCAAGTGCGTAAGCACCGGCGTCGGCTCAGGTATGGTCAATCACCTTCAAGGCTGACTCACGCAGGACCTCCCTGTGACGACTGCCGCGCTCTCACTCTTCGGATGCGGCTCTCTCGCGGATGGTCGTGCGCTGATTCGACTGTAAACTAACTGCAATCTATTCTCCACTAGCTCTGCGCACAATATACTATTCCTCCCACCTGGCGTCCCACTTTGCCTCTTCCCTCACGGAACCGGGCCTGAAGATGGCAGCAGTTAGAGTCTTCCCTGTGAACTTAAGCCACTGCGATAAGCGCCTAACTCTCGGAATTTTGATCACATAGCGCAAAAAATAAAACTAATTTTAAATGGGGTAGTAGACTTTATTGTTTTGAGCCCGCAGCTGCTCTGACGATCAGCGTCAGAACTCGGATATGACAGTCAATGACAGGACTGCAGGAAGCCATCATTGAGCCTATTCTCTTCCCTATTTAAATGACAAGCTCACGTGCAAACAGACGGGCGCTCGAAAGAGCCCGTGGGTGGGCCAACTGGGGGAAGGGAGGAAACGGGGGGAGGGTCGGGTAGTCTAAAAACGATACTGGGTATGTCAAAAAGCACACACGCACACACGCATACGTTCAGCCCTACTTTCGTGGAAAAAAGGGACCATTGATGAACAGACGGCTAAAGCGTTTTAGGCCAGTTGCGCAACCTGTCACCCAGTAACAGCAACGTCAAAAATCACGCCTGACGGCTAACCCTGCGTAGGTCCGTTCAGCAGGCAGTCCACTGGAGGTAATGCACTAGGGAATATCCCAAGTTACTTTAGATTTGTGAGGGTCACAGCTGGCGGGTTTGACTGCAGTAGAATACAAACATTTTGACTGCACGCTGGCAAAAACTTCAGCATGATGTTTCGACCACCACAAACAGCACGGTGGGCACAGGGACAAGGATCTCAGTGTGAATTGGTTTGTCGACTTGCGTTGCATCTACCACACTCTCTCTCTTCCCTCATCCACCTGTGCCCGGTGTCAGTCCAGAGTCAAGGAGACCGGAGGTGTGATCGGACGCAGGTGACTGGCACAACCGATGCTGCCCCTATGCGTTCTACCACGTACCCTCCTCCCATGTTCGGCAACCCGAATAACGCCTGCCATGACCTGATCTGGCCCCCGCGTTAGTCCAGTGCATCTATTACGTAGTCCGTTTAAGGGGGCATACCTACCCTCATACACTAACAGAAAGTCGATACGACCGGAGGTGAAATTGGGCGCAGCGACCGACAGAATTCAGTAGTCCGTCTATACGTGCCGGGGTTCTGGTAAAACTGTACCAGCTCGGCTCGGACCTCACCCAAACGCGAGTATGCTCTAAAAGACAGGAGCATTTGCAACTGACCCTCAATTGTGGAACGTAAAGCCTGTAGTCTCTTCAGCAGTCACTCCAGACGCTTTGAAGATACTGCGTACGCCTAGGTTTTATAAAGGATGAAAAAAGTTCTCCCTTTGGTTGGAATTACTCAAATGTCTCCCCCCAACCCTTCTCAGCAGCAACACCGGTACTAGGTCTGTCCAGAACTGAGTAGGCGACAAGATAATTTATGTAGATAGTACTGCCAGCAAAGAGAGAAGTTACTGGAATGGCCGTTTCTTATGTATGAGTCGTCGTCAGCCAGTCATGCCCAACCACAGGTGGTACAACACCCGAGGTTCGAAATCGCGACCGTTTTTGAACAGAGGCTAACGCTCTAACCAGTAAGCCGCGAGCTCGT